TAGGTATTTTAATATCAATTTACTAATATAACTCTTTAATTCTTTGTAATTTTATATAGTGACTAAGTGACTAATATATTCTTGACTTTTGATTTGTTTCCTACAATTAGATATTGAACAGTAAATATATTTTGAAAGTTGATAACTTTTGTACTTCTTATCGGTTTTACATAGGTCAATTACACCTTTCCTTTTGAACTCTTTGACTTCACTGCGCTTCGCGAACGTAGTCCGCAGGAGTCAAGGGGTTGTAGGAGCTACTTCCAGAGAGAGAATTATGGCGAGGAGAGCTTATGGACTATATAATATATCAAATTAATCATATTTTCATGATCTTCGATTTGACATTCATATTGTATATATAAATTAAATAAATTATATTTATCTTTATAACAACAAAAAATAATAATATTTATTAAAATTTATTAAAAAAATAAAATTATTTCTCAATTGATATATTTATATGTAATGTAGTTATATGTTGTAAGTTAAAAAAATTATTATATTATAACACAAGTAAGTCACACAAATAAAAAGTGTCATACTAAATATATAATAACTAGCGCGTAGCCCGTGCGATGCACGGAAAATAATATTCATTTGTCATTGTTATGTTAGATAATAAGGTGAGACATAAGTTAACAACATATATATTAATATTTCAAACCCTATGGATTCACAGTGAGGAAAACTGACTCATCAAATCAATGTGCGATAAAGATAGACATTGACTCTTATTTATCGTCATAGCATAAGAAACTATAAGTGAGAATTGTCATCTCTGCTACTTGAAAGATATTCTCACATTGGAAGAGTTAAGCACCATCCGAGGAACCAATATCTTATCACCATCATGATCCCATCCATTGTAGGAAGATGATGCCAAGATGTCTACATAATATGATTCGCCAATTATATTTGTATCTACTAAAAAGCTCTTTTTGTGCAAATAATAAAAATAACTTTATGTAACTAAATATGCAATAAATATATTATTTTATTAGAAGGACATTAAAATATAAATAATGTAATTATAGTAAAATTTGAATGTTTGTTGATATGTATTAAGTTTGTTTTTATTACATTAAGTAATATTGGTTGGTGGATAATAAATAATTATTCATATAAACAGTAAATAATAAAATTTAAATTTTTTGTTTCCTATATATAAAATATTTGTCTACAAATTACTTCAACTTCGTCTATCCCCAGTTATTCATTCCGCTCAATGTAATCTCTCCTTTCTGAACCTTCTGCGTCTAGTCTCACAAGACCTCCTCTCCCTTTTGTCGCAAAGCTAGGCCATTCCA